TATTGTAGCTGCTTCTTTATCAGAAATTAGACCCCCTAATAACTTTGGAAAGGAAGCTTATCCTCCAAATGACTTTCTACCATTCCCCAGTGAAATGAGAGAAAGAGGGAGGGCAAGGTAAGACACGTTTCACTTGTACACTAATAATCAGTCCCTTTGCCTATCAGAGGAGGTCTGACCTCTGAGGATAAGTGACAATGATGACTCCTCAGAAACAGACTTGGATACCTACAGATTCTCCCTAATCCCTCACCTTCAAACACCAGTACCATCTTCTAGTTGTTTGTTTTATGAAAAGATTGAATGAATGGGAGCTGATTTGATAGAGAACCCTTCAGAAAGTCCAGGTCACCATCACCAGGACAAACACTTGCACTTAAGGTAGCAACTCTCTCGGGATAGACGTAGAAAAGGGAAATCCATTGGGAGGCACAACTCTAATTTGCTGTTCAAGGAAAGCTCAGGGCCTTCTTTCACTTGGGTGGGACTAGAAAACAAAGTCCAGAGTGAATGATTTTCTCTCTCTCTCTCTTTCTCTCTCTCTCTCTCTTTTTCCCTCTCTTTCCTTCTCTCCCTCCCTCCCTCCCTTTCTCTCTCTCTCTCTCTCTCTCTCTCTCTCTCTCTCTCTCTCATATACATCATCAAAGATGATAGATGGAACTTTGAGGTTCGGAGAATGAAGGCATATATGAGAGGGGGCTTGGGAGGTGAAGTGTTATATAGAATTATAATAGCTTTTCCCTTTCTAATCTAGAAAAAGCACAGTATTTGGAATCTGAAGCCCTGGTTTTGAATCTAGGCTTTGCTACTTGCTATCTGTGTGACCTTGGACAGTCAGTTAATCAGTATGTCTCACTTTTCTTATCTGAAAGATGAAAGCTTGATTTAGATCAGAGAAATCAAACATGCTACATGAGGCCCACAATATCCCTATCTGATTTTAATGTGTTGCTGTATTAATAATAAAAGAAATCTATAAACATATGTGGTTTTCTAAGTCAATATGGGGGCTTCAGGTATCCTTATGTATGGTTTAATGGTCCCATTTCTATTTGAGTTTTACAACACTGACTTAGTTGATCTTTAAGGTTGATTTCCACCACATTGTCTTCTCCTTCCAAACTATTCACAGTATCTCCGTTGAAGCTCTCTTCCTTACCTGAGGCTCTGGGAACAGGTTTAAATGATAGTAGTCAACTGTGCACCTTCTGAATAAATCAGTCTCATATTGGAATATCATACACATAATCCTCCCATCCCCCCAAAGGGACAGAGGAGGGAGAAACAAAGTTTCATAAAACCCAAGATGCTTGTAAACTACAAATGTGAAGCAAGAAATGCTACCTCTTTCCCAGCAGAAGGAGAAAAATTTTGCAAAAGGCCAGCCTCTGGTTTGGTTTGTAGACTCCAGGGAAGAGCAGCTGGCCAAACAGATGCTTCTGACAAGGGGTTCGCTCAAGGATGATGTTTGGCAGAAGAGAAAGAAACAAAACCAATCACAAGAGCCACTCAAATGCAAAAACATCTGGGACACAAACGCAGCACTAGAGTAAAGGTCTTGCCTTGTTTATAGGGCCTTTCCACAACCATAACAATGTGGCTGAAAGACTGGCGGGGGCAGTTTTGGGAAGGTGTTGTTTTGGAAGGGTGGGATAAATACACAGGAATCCAATACTGCTCTAAACTGCAAGAGTCCTAGTGACTCCTTCATTCTGGTTCCTGTTGTGGTTTCTGAAGGATACTTGGCCATGTCTGGTCTCCATGATCCTATTTTAGTGGATTGGTTGGGTGCTGGATGACTTCTTCATGAATCAGACTTCATGGAAGAGAACACTGGACAGTCTCTAAAGACAGCCTCTAGAGTATTCGAACAACTTTACAGAAGCATTGGCAGTTGGAAAATAGTGGAAAAGCAGGGGCTTGTCCTAGGAAGACCTAGATTAATACCTCTCTACTTATTTTGTTAGGGAACAATTTTTTAAAATTTCATTTCATTTTTTCAGTTAGTCAAAATCTATTTTCTCTCTCTCTCACTTCCCCACCCCATTGAAAAAAAGAGAAAACCCCTTATATCTAATATGCATTATCAAGCAAAACAAATTTCCACATTGGCCACATCCAAAAAATATATGTACCGATCTGCATCCATCACCTCTCTGTCAGGAGGTAGATAGCATGTTTCATCATGCATATATACCTCTTATTAGCAAAGTGACATGGGAAAGAGCTATTTAAATTTTTGGTGCCAAAATGAGGGATTTGTTACCTATTATTGTTTCTCCATGAAGTCTTACTCTGATGCCTTAGCATGGCTCTGAGGTGACCTCAGGTTCTAGAAAACTTTACTAATCACTTCCAGGATAGGCCCATACATGGACCATCAGTCTAGTGTCTGGGGATCAGCCAACCTAAGTTTAAAAAAAAAAAAAAGATTAACATGAGAGGACTGGCTACCAGGAGGTGATTTATTTATTTATTGACATAACTACTCAAGAAAGTTTTCTACTGAGATGAAGAGGGACTGAGATCTTTTAAAGGCATTGCCCACTAAAGAAATCATTGCATCTTTGGTATATAAGTAGATAGTTATTATTATTATTATTATTATTAATACTATTAATCCTCCTCTAGTCTTATTTTGATGGCTCATCCTAGAGTACAAGTCTGGGGAAGTAGAAATAGTATTAGACTTGGAGTCAAGCCACCTGAATTTGTATTCCCAGCTCAGAAACTTCCTGGTTACTCGGACAATGGACTGATTACTGAACTCTCTTTCCTTATCAATATCTCTTTCCTTATTTACCTTATCAAATGGTAATTATTTCCCCAAAAGGGTTGTGGGGAAAGTGCTTTGTTAACCTTACCGTTCTAAATAGATATATTGTTATTATTATAATGCTGGGAAAGCTTCAGGTACAATCTGGCAAAAGACTGTTAGGTACTTCTGTTGCCAGGGGACCACCCTAGCTAAGTACAGAGATGTTCACCACCAGCAGTTTGCTTACCACATAAGGAATTTTTTTGGCCAACAGCAATTTACAAAACATTCTGCCTCTAATACTACCTGCATGACCTTAGACAAATCACTTAACCTCCTTGAGTTTCAGTTTTCTAGCAGGTAAAAAATGAGCGGGTAGGACTAGATGAAGTCTCAGGTCCCTTCCAGCTCTGTGACCCTATAACCCATCTATAATCTGAAAAGGCGTGGAGGGGCTTCCTCCTGTGCTGGAGGAAGAAGTATCCACTATCAGTTAAATCTTTGGTTCCTTGAGGTGTTAAAATAGTACTCTTCATAATAACGTAGGATTATAGGGTCATGAATTTAAAGCTGTAAGGGACTTTAAGTAGGTTCTGAAATGTGCAAAATAGAGACCCAGTCTCCTAGAGTTGCTACTGACCGCAACAATCTCTGGAGGGACTTTCTTGTTTTAAATCTATCTATCCAAAGAGAAAGAGGAGGGAATGGGATCTGTTTAGTTCGACAATGAACAGAAAGCAAGAGGGCAGCTCTTTGTTCGATAGGCACCAAACTTAAAGGAGGGAGAGAACAAGACGGGTAGAAAGAGAACATTTTTCCGTTGAAACATCCTCTCTCTCTCAAATATAAACCAGTTGAAATAACTTAAGATTTGTCCCTCACAAATTACTAGGTAGCATATAATAGGTACTTGGTAAAAGTTGAATTAGACTAGATGACTTCTAAAGTCGCTTGCAGCTCTAAATACTGTGATCCCGAAATATTTATTTCTGAAAGTTTAAAATGGGAAAAAGAGAGACGTGCCATTCAGTCTGAGTCGGGCCATAAATTTGTAAAAGACATATATTATATATACGCACATATTATATATATATATATGTATGTATATATACATATACATATATATATACATACATATATATATATATATAATTTTGGGGTGGGAAAGGAAACGCTAGTAGCCGCCAGGTAATTAACTCTTTGGATGCCGAGCTGATTGGGTACAATTTGAAGGGGGAGGGCGGAGACGGTACGCAATTGTTACAGAGTTCCCGGTTTTCCTTGCAGAGTCTGGGGGCTTCATGCTCCATCCCAGCCCTCCCGCTCGGGTCTGAGTCAGCGGCATCCTCGGGGCCGCTGGGCGGCGCCTTCTCGGTCTGGGCTAGAGGTGCCCGGAGTGGCCGAAACAAAGGGCGAGTGAAACCCCTCTAACTTTCGGAAGGTAAAGAACGCCCGGGGCCCTAGAAAGAAGATTCCGAATGTGGCGAGCTTACAACCCCCAAGCCAGGCACCCGGAGTCTCCCCCAACAGAAGAGAGTCCCTCCCCACACCCCAACCCCGCTCTAGCCCACCGCCCTACCAGTCCCTCTCCCGCCCTTCTAGGAGGCCAGCTCCCGTGGCTACCTAGGACAGAAGGTTTGGACTGAAAGAGGAAAGCGGGGAGGGAGGAGAGGACAGTAGAGAGGAGGGGAGGGAAAGAGAGAGGAGGGTGGGCATCGCAACCCCCTAATAGGGAAAACTTGAAAAGAAATTTCACGTGAAGGAGGAGGGAAAAGGAGGAAATCCTCCCCCTCCATAGAAAACCTGCGTTTTTTCCCACGGCCTAGCCCCGCGACACGCAAGGTGGGGGGAAGGAGTGGGTCGACCCCAGGAATAATGACAGTCTCCTCCCCCTTTCCCTTTCTCTCCCCTCCCCCTCCCCTCAGCAGGTGCCCTGACTCGTTTCGGGGCAGAAAGAGTTAAAGGCAACTCTGTCCAGTGTCCAGCCCCGTCCCCTCCCCCTTTCCCACCGGGACAGCCATTCTGGGGGCTGGGCCGCTTGTGGACTCCAAGCCAAGCGGAGCCGGGCCGGGCCGAGCCGGGCCAGGCAGGGCTGGGCTGGGCTGGGTTAGGCAGGGTTGGGCCGGGCCCGAGAGGGGAGAGGAGAATAGGGGCGGGAGGAGGCGGGGGAACCTTGAAGTCTCCTCCCCGGATTAAGTGGCCCTGCCCGCCCTCTTGGCCCCCGGCTAGGGCTAGAGAGCTTTGGGAGAAGGAGTCAGGAGGGAGCACAGGGTAGCGAGAAAAGTTGGGCTCCCGCATTTACCGTATTTATTCATTTGTTACTCGGATGCTCAGCGCTCGCAATGTGCTCTGCGGCTCCTCTCTGAATCGAGAGCCCCTTCTCCTACTTCTCCATTTCGCTCGAGTCCCAGCCCCTGCCGCCCGCTCCCCTGAGAAGATGGCGAGGTGGGGAGCTGGGCACCGCCGGGGGTACGCGTCTCTCCGCGCGCTGTCCCTTCTGTTGCTACTGCTGCTGCTTCTCCGTGGTGGGGCTGGAGCGCCAGAGGCCGGTGGCGAAGGTAGAGGCAGCTGGAGTGGTGGGAACAGTGGCGGCTTCAGCCTACACCCACCCTACTTCAACCTGGCCGAGGGCACCCGCATCTCGGCTTCTGCGACTTGCGGCGAGGAGGCGCCGGTCGGAGCGCGAGGCCCCCCGCGGCCCACCGAGGACCTTTACTGCAAGCTAGTGGGGGGGCCAGTGGCTGGCGGCGACCCCAATCAGACCATCCAGGTACGGTGACATCAGGCCGAGGGGGGTGGTGCTGAGGGGTTTGCTCTGTTCGGACTAGTGAAACTGGGAAAAACTGGGACTCCTGGGTGCTTCCAAGCATTGGTGGTTACCTGTTTTCCTCAGCGGAGGATGGGACGGCGGGGGGTGGGGGTGGGGGTGTGCCAGATCTCTCATTCCGAGTGTTGCGCTTTCGCCCCCAACTTGGGGGTCGAGGTTGTGCTGATTGTGTGTAGGCGAGTGGGCGGGAGTTGAGGAGAGAGGACTGAGATTTGTTCTTTCCAAGAGCCCCGCGGGCACGTTTAGTGCTTTAGTGTGGAAAGTGCTGCGGTCAGAGGGGGGAGTCGAGTAACTAGTTGGGTTCTTCACCTCTCTAGCTACTAGGTTCATTAGCATTTTCAGGAGGAGGAAAGAAGGGAGGTGGAAAGGGTTAATTGACGGGTGAAATCCTGGACTTGGTGGAGGGACCTGTTGGAGAAATTCTTGGTCGGCTGATCTTGGGAGCAGATTAAAAGGCCCCAGAGTTACTTTGTATTTACCCTCTCGAAATCTTTGAGGTTTCGGGGAGGGCTGCTGCTCCGGATGACGCTGAATCCTGTGGAAGGAGTGTACCGGTGGTAGAATCCTTTTAAGTCGAAGGGGGCTGAGCTTAGGGGAACTCAGAAACCACTTGACTTTCAACCTCGAGCTGGAAACTTGGAGAGTGCTCCAAATCCAGAAGCAGCAAGTGGAGCAGTTATCTCCCTAAAGTTAAAAGGGGCTAACGTTTTCACAGAGATTAGGTAAAACTTAAGATCTTCTCCTACAAGACGTCAGAGTGAGAACTTTTGCAATCTTCTCTAATTTCTTCCAAAAAAGTAACACTCTTCATCCCTCCAAAATTTTTTTGGCTCCAGTAGAGTCAGGGGCATGGACCATAGGACCCGAGGGGCCTCGGGACTCTGGTCTTTCTTAGTACTGGGCAGAGGCTGAGGCTGAGGCTGCTGATTTCTAGTCTTGGACTGGGGCTTCCTACTTCCATCCAAATCCCAGGAGAACTAGGATCTGGCCTGGAATCTTTGGTTTTTCCCGGCATGAAGGAGTGTGGGGGACTCTGGGAGCAGGGCCTATTATATGACACTAAGATCCCTTCCCCTGGGCTCTTTGGCCAGGGGTTGTCCTGAAGTCCCCTATTCTTCCCACACCCTCTGTCTTCCCCCACCATCCTGCTTTGGAGTAGTAAATGAAACGGAAAAAGAAGAACTTACCATCCTACTATCCCTCCCCATCCCGTCTCTTCTGGAGGGGTAGTTTGGGAGTAGTAGATGGCCCTAGATATCCCATCAGAGAAGGATAGTGCAAGCCTCTTCAAAGGGCCTGGCTCAGGGGAGTTGGGTAGAGAGCTGGGTTAGGGGAAAAGACCTAACTCCTTTCCTTTTCAGGATATTCAATCTCTCACCTCTGTGCCTATGCAAAATGCCCCCCTTTCTGCCTTGGTCCCCTTGGAATACTTACCTTCTTTCAGAGCACAGCTCAGGTGCTACCCTCTTCCTGAGACATTTTCTTATTCCCCCTGTTATTTGTACTCTTTCCTCAAAACTTCTCAGAAGTGCTTTCCTTTTTTACCTTTGAATGTGTTGTATTCATCTGCCTATCTCCTCCCCACCCAGTAGAGGTAGGCTTTTTAACCTTAGACGTTGCTTCCTTTTTATCTCTTTACCCCCTTTGTCTAACCACTGTGACTGTTGAATTGAATAGGGAGAGTCAGTGTGGTTAGTTGATAGAGCCACAGACTTGGTGACTGGATAACCTGGGTTTAACTCCTACCTCAGACACTTACTGCATTGCCCTGGACAAGCCATTTAGCCTCTTTGAACCTCAGTTTCCTCATCCGTGAAATAAGAAGCTTAGACTAGATGACATCCAAGGTCCCTTTGAACTTTACATCCATAATCCTGTGGATTTGTTTCGGTGTGCACCTCAGTGTGATAGAATGATCAAAGTGCTGGATTTAAAGTCACAGGACCTGAGTTCAAATCCCACTTCTTGGGCTTATCTTCGTTAGCTTGAGCAAGTTATTCACCCTCTCTAGGCCTCAGTTTCCTCATCTATAAAATGAGGGAGTTGGACCAAATGACCTCTGAGGTCTTTTCTAGCTCTAAGTCCATGATCCTGTAATGTATCATTAGAAACTGTAAGATTGAGTCACTCAAAGATGTGCCTTCCTAGCTTCTACCTTTCTGTTCTTGGAGCTGGAAGGGATGTCAGGAGTCATCTTGTTCAACAGTTTTTTTTTTTTAAACAGGCGAGAAAACTGAGGCCCATATAGGTTGTGTCTCTACCAGCTAGTCATTTCCCTCACTATTCTTCCCTTTGGCTTAGGAGAATGTAATTGATTTTTAAAGTCCTTATCCTCTCCTAAATATATCATATGGTATTTATCTCAATTAATAATACTGCAATTTGAGATTATTGGAAACTGATCCGTACAAACATTCTGCCATTGAACAATATTTAAATACTTATTAAGCTAAGTGCTAAGGATCCAAACAATAAAATGAGAGATACTGCTCTCAAGGAGTTTACATTCTATGTTCAGTGGCATGTACACAGTTAATAGTTGTGCTGTGAGAGACAAACGAACCCTGTGATAGGATACTGTGGGAGAGATGAAGAGGTGTCCACAGAATATTTTGTCTCCTCAGCTTCTCTCTTACTCTTGGGAGAAGATCTGGGGTTCCTGCCCTTAGGGAGAGTAGATAGAGCCTGGTGAAACTATTCAATATTTAACACTTAAGTAGTGTTAGAAGGAGTTCTGAGAAGACCAACCCCCTTTGGGCTGGAATGGTCAGGGGATATAGGATTCATGGGACAATTGTGGTATCATTGATTTCGATTAGAGGGCACCTTATAGATACTCTAGTTCAGTCTCATTTTATAGATGAGAAAACTGAAACCCAGAGAGGAAAAGTGATTTTGTCTAAGGTCTTACAGTAGCACATGGCAAAACTGAATGGAGTCAGAGGATCTGACTCCAATATCCATGATTTTCCCCAATATAATACTCAATCTCAACTCTAGAATGATCTGTAATCTCAGTTTTAGGGACTCTAAGGCTAGTGGGTGAGAAGGGAACATAAGTGAGGTCAAGCTTTATTTTTTCTCTCTCTCTTTTTTTTTTTTTTTTAGTGAGGCAGTTGGGGTTACGTGACTTGCCCAGGGTCACACAGCTAGTAAGTGTTATGTGTCTGAGGCTAGATTTGAACTCAGATCCTCCTGACTTCAGGACCCATGCTCTATCCACCTAGCTGCCCCATGCTTTTCTTTTCCAACAAAAGGGGGTCAGGTGCATTAAAATTTTTCTTTCACTTTGTCTTATCTTTTATGTTAAAAATAGTTTTTATTTTGATTTTTACATCACAGTTATTTCTAGATACCTGACCTCTCAGTTGTACTGAAGAGAAACAATTAAGTGAAAATAACTCCTAGTCCCCTCATCTGACAATGTCTACAACATTCTGCCCCTGTAGGTCCCTGCTTTTATCAGAGGAGGAAACTAGATTTCATTATCTCTTGTCCAGGATCAAGATTTATTATTACAATTACTGTACTAATGTGGCTTCCTTTTACTTTTTTTTTTCATTTATATCATTGTAGTTACTGTGTGTATTGTTCTGGTTCTACTTATTTCATTCTGCATTAATTTGTGCAAATCCTTGTTTCTTTGAATGCTTGCCATTTATCCTTCTTTGGTTGTCCTTCATTCTTAAAGAGGACCAAAATGACATCACTACTTTGGGGTGAAGGTACATTGTTACCGACTGTGGTTGATCAGACCAATATGAGCTCAGAACGTTTTACCTCAGGTCAGACACAAAAAGTCTCATCTATAGAGTCCATATAAACATTTGGAGTGGAGATGTCTCTAAATTTGCACATCTCATGTTTCTTTTGAGCTACTTGCACTTATGCTTTGCTTACAGAGCACATCAATAATATTCTATTAATCTGCAAATACTATCTTTCATGGTTATGATTATGCCCAACATTGTGTGATATAGACATTCAGGGATATCAGAGGTTCAGAGAAGAGAGACAGCAGAGGCAGCACTCTAGCAGAAAGAACACTATCTCTGGAGGCAGAGGACCTGGGTTCAAATCCTGTCTCTTTTACCTATGTGACCTTGGGCAAATTACATAATCTCTCTAGTTCTGTTTCCTCATAAGTAAAATGAGATGTTTGGCCTAAATGGTCCCTTAAGATCTCTTCCAGCTCTAAATCTGTGATCCAATGATCACCCTGAAGTAGGTTTTCCTGGAGGCAGTAGGCATTGAAATATGGATAGAATTCCAAAATATATGTAGAAGACAAATAGGGCAGAACCATGTGAGCAAAGACTTGGAGTTAGTTCAAGCATTTCCCAATTTACAGGCTTTATTTCCAGTTCTTTGCTGCCTCAAAAAGTGCAAATATTTTGGTTATCTATTAGACTTTTCTGTCATTAACCTCCTTAGGGGCATGTGCCCAGTAAGGGGATTTCTGGATCAAAATGTATGTACAATTTAGTGACTTTTTAAAAAGTAGAATTCCAAATGGTTTTCAGAATGATCGGACTGATTCACATCTCCACTAACAGTTCAGCCATGTGTCTGTCTTTCCACAGCTGCCCTTAGTATTTATTGTTTCATCTGTTATCTTTACCACCTTGCTGGGTGTGAGGAGAAACCTTGTTTGTTTTTATTTGAATTTCTCTATGTTAGGTCAATGACAATTTGCAGTTCTTTTGAACATATTCAGATCCTTTGATCCCTTATCTGTTGGGGAATGATCTTCTATATTTCTGTCATTTACCTCTATATCTTGGATATGAATCTTTTATCAGTGATATTTAATCAGTTCAATGTAAAAGTAAGAGCATTCTTTTCCTGTTTTGCCTACTGAGAACTCTAGGCTTCCTAGGATTTAGTTACCTTCTGTTAAATTTCTCTTGTAGTATGTGGGAGGGAGTCAAAGGATCATTTGT